GTGCGCGGAGCGGGTTCTGGGGAGGCGGTGGGCGCTGCTGCTGCTGCTGCTGGTGCTGGTGCTGGTAATGCTGCTGTTCCTCCAAAAGATGCTCCTCTGGTGCCTGTTGCTGCTGCTGCTGCTGCTGCTGCTGCTGCTGCTGCTGCTGCTGCTGCTGGCGAGGGCTGGCGCCCAGCTGCTGCGCCGCCTCTGAGAGGAGCTGCAGCGGCGCCTCGACCTGCAGCGGCCCAGCCCGGGCGACGCGCTCCCCGACGCCGGGCGCCGCCTTGATGGCAGCAGCCGCGGCCTTGATGTTGCTCATTGCTGCCGTGGCGGCCGCCCGGGTCTGCTTCACAGTGTTGCCCTGCGGCCCCCCGGCCGCTGGTCTGGCGCCGGGCGCACCACCCGGCATGGCCGGCCTGTCGCGGTCGCTCGCCACGTCGTGGCGGTCGTCGTGGCGGTCATCCAGGACTTCCATAGCGCTCGCCTCACTTGTTGCCGTCCGCTGATCGCGCGAAAGAACACCGTTCACCAAGGCGGGCGGAGGTGGGCCTCACGGTGCGCGGGCACCCATGCCCGAGGGTCTTAAACACTGGATGTTTCACGGGCGTCCCCGGGACGGGAGGCCGCAGACGTGGAAGGTAGGACAGGATGGACTGCCCACTTGAGGCCGGAGCTGCTCGTATCTTAAAATGGGGTGTAATGACGCGGGAGGTGAAATAAGATGCAACTTGAAAGTGTTTCGCAATGTGTCCCGTGTGTTGGTGAGGCGTGCCCAGATCAAGCGGGCCAGGTGCCGCTTCCCCCGTGATGGACTAGGCACGAAGGAAAACAAGCGGGATGGTATGAGAGCATGTGTGGCGCACGCAGGCACGCACTGACGCTCACCCTCCGCCTAGGCGGAGCAAAGCGTTCCTCTGGCATGAAGCACAGCTGACGCATCACGGCAGTCCCACCGGTGCGCAGATGGACGGCGGACCCACGGAGCGTCCGCAATCAATCTTTGACGCATTTCATGGAGTAGGATATGGTTGACAAGCATCACACGCACATCGATTGCTGCTGTCCGACCAGGACTGCCGCCGTGGCGAGAGCGGTTGGACCAAGAGTGAGAGCCCCCATTTCATGCCACGCCGGAGGGCCCCGTCTGCGTTGGGCACCGACCTGGTACCCCTGGACCACATAGCAGCAGTGACATCCACCGATCTCATCGCTGCTGGCAACAAGCCCGGGCCAGCTGCCAGCAGGCACGACCCCTGCGATCCAGAGAAAGCATTGACCTGTGCATGTTGCATGCTGTTCATGGCACCTGCAACGAGGGGCGATCGATCAACTGTACCCTTCTTGATCAGCCAAGTGCCCTCCCCCTCTCGCCGCCGCCTGAAAACAGGATGGCCCTGTGTACGGCTGGCGCGGCGCCGCTTAGTCACAATTTGTTGGCGGTGGCCTCTGCGCGTGTGCATCTGACCAGCCCAGGTCAACCACATGCAGCTGTTCAGCGCTCTGCGGCACCCGCCGCCCCCCCTCCCCCCGGTAGACACCGCTCACGCGTCCATCGTCTGCCAGTCCCAGGAAGTTTTGCGTGTGAGCTTGGCTGGCTTGACAGGCAACATTGTGTGCCTCCGCGTCTCATGCCTGCCGCTGAATATTGTATTACTCAGGTCACCCACATCATCACGTGTCCCGCGTCTCCGGCACCCCCTGGCCATCTTGCCGCTGCACAAACCCAAGCCGCCGGCCCCTCTGCCGCTTGCCCGCTGGCCCGCCGCGCGCGGCGGCGGCCCCCCGCTCCCCTCGCCCGCGTTCCCCCCTTCCCGCCGCGGCTGCCGTCCCCTGCTCTCCCCGCGCCGCCCCCTGCTCGCCCCGCGCCGCGTCCCGCCGCTCCATGAGCGCGTGCCGCACCGCCAGCGGGAGCAGCTCGTAGCGCTGGCGCCCCACGCCAGACTCAACGCTTTTCAAGCGCTCCCGCTCGAAAGCTGCAACCGCGTTGCGCTGCGCCGCGTCCGCCGCTTTGGCGGCCTGCTTTGGCGGTTTGACCGTCACGTAGACCTTTTTCCAGTCGGTCTGTCGGTACCACTTGGGGCGGCCCTTGGGGTCAAAAATCCGCTTCTTCTTGCCCTGCCGGCGACGCGAGTGGCGGTGAGGGGGAGGGGAGAGTAGGTCATTTGCGCGGTGCTTCGGCCGGGGGCGTGCAACCGCGAGGGCCAGGCGGGCGGCTGCACGGATCCAGTGATTTGAAGCCAAGAAGGGAGTCTGTCCCTGTGGACGACGCGCAGCCGCGGCTGCTGAGGCCGCCGAAAGGGGCGCCGAGGGGCACCTCTTTTTGGGAGAGGCACAACTCGCACTTGCTGGCAAATCCCGAAAGAGCAGGCGCCGCCCTCCCCGCGGCCGCACCTCGTAATTGATGGTGTTGATGCTGTCCGCTTCTATGTTGTACATACTCCGCAGCAGCGCCGCTATCTCCATCTGGGAGGGAACAGACGGTTCGGGTGCGTGGGCTCATGACACGGCTCCAGGGGCGCTCCTGCGCCGCGGCCGGCTGCGGATGCTCATGCCCCTGCCCCTGCCCCTCTACCTCCGACAAGAGTGCCTAGAGATGGGATGCCACGGGGTCATTGGCGGGGTAGGGCAGGGTAGTGCGGCAGCAATGACAGCAGCAGCGCACCTTGTTCACGCGCGGCTCCGTCTTGAAGACGACCTCGCGCAGCCACCCCGTGTCCCGCACCTGCTGCAACTGCTCTTTGCTGAGCGGCAGCATGCGCAGAGAAAAGTTTGGAAAGAATGTCGGCAACCTTGTCCAAGGCATCGCGGATGTGCTGTGCTGCTGTAGACTGCTGCACTTGTTTTCTAGTGATCTGTGATTCTTTCAACTCGCTCAAACTTGCACCGTGTTGTTTTCCTGCGCTTGTTCAAACACCATCTGTTGTTAGAGGCCTTTGCCCGATATCGGTGGCTGTGTGACCTGGATGGAGTGACTGGCTGACTGCAAGCTACCAGCACAGCGCTTTTCACCTTTACTATTCAGTATTTGTCTCATTACTGTCGACGCTGACGCCTTGCTTACCGTGTGTGGACTACAAGCGTTCATGCTGATCTGGCGGCAGTGAAGTCCAGCCTGAGGCCACCGCTGGAATGCTGCCGTAGCCCCATTGGTAGGCGGAAAATCATATAAGTCCACCTGGCCCGCGCAGTGGCTGTGCATGCTGCATGCTGCATTCCCTGGTGTTTCCCAGTCGCAGCTGGCCGCCGCCAGACGACTGCGCTACTGCACAGTACTTCGCTCTCTGGACTGCGCCGGGACTTTGACAGCCACCCCTTCACACAAGGCATCTTTAAGAAGGCCCGGCTTCCACAATAGCCTCGCTTTCCGTTGGGTGCCAATATCGACGGGAGGCGGGCCGCTGCGGCTGCGCTTTTTCCAACGCGCTGACCGCCGAGCACCGCCCCCGCACATCGCCGCTCATGCACCCTGGTCATGCAGCCCTGCTCTCCAGCGCAGCTCTCCTCATGCAAACCTCTGACAATGCCGATGGTGACGTGGCCCCGCTCGCAGGCCTAAAGGATGCAGCCGCATGGCCTCGCTGCGCCTCACCGGCTGCCCGCCGCCGACCCGACCCGCGCCGGCCGCCTGGCCGCCCTCGCCGGCCGCCTGCGCCGCGCCGACGCCGCTGCCGCAATCGCGCCCATGACCGCACGCACCACTCCCGGCTGCCGCCCGCGGGCTCATGTCCGCGCGCCCGGGTCCGTTGCGGCCGCGTACGCTGGGCCGACCCCCTCCGCCAATCCCGACACCAGCGCCCCGCGCGCGCCGCGCGCCGAGGGCGGCAGGCCGGCGGTCGGGGACGAGCTCGAGCTGACCTGCGAGCGCCTCGGCGGCGGCGCGCGTGGCATCTGCCTGGCCCCCGGCGGCTTCGTCCTCATGGTGCCCCGCGCGCTGCCCGGCGAGCACCTGCGCGCACGCGTGACTTTAATTAGGGACCGCTACGGCGAGGCCGAGCGCCTCGAGACGCTCGCGCCGCACGCGCGCGCCGCGCCGCCGCCGTGCCCGCACCACGCGGCCTGCGGCGGCTGCCCGCTGCAGGCACTGCAGTACGACGCGCAGCTGGAGGAGAAACGGAACACAGTCGCGCAGCTGCTCACGCGCGTGGGCGGTGTACCGCGGGAGGATCTGGACCGGATTGTCGCGCCCGCCGCCGGCGCGCCGCCGGGGCGGCGGCTGGGGTACCGCAACAAGCTGCAGTTTGCGTTTGGCGCCAAGACCTGGTCCGGCCTGCCCGAAAACGGCGGCGGCGACGGCGGCGGCGCGAGGCTGGCGGCGGCCGCCGCCGCGGACGCGGCGGCGCGGGGCCTGGGCCTCGGGTTTCTGAAGCAGGGGACGAGCGATGTGGTCGTTCCAATAGGGGAGTGCCTGCTGCAGGGCGCCGCGGGCAACCGCGCGCTCGCGGCCGCGCGGGCCGCGGCGGCGGCGCTGGGGCTGGAGCCGCACGACGCGCCGTCTGGCCGCGGCGTGCTTCGGCACCTCATCATCCGCAGCGCCGGCGAGGACGGCGGCGGCGGCGGCGCTGGTGAGGCGGAACAGGCGGCCGACCCCAGGCCCGGCAGTGGCCGTGGGAGCCCCGCCGGCGTGCAGCTGCAGGTGGTGATCGTCACTAGCGAGTGCCCGTCGGGTGACGTCCGCCCGATGGCGGAGGCAATACGGGCGAGCGTGCCTGAGGTGGTGTCGGTGGTGCACAGCGTTGCAGCAGCGGCGCCAGGCGGCGGCGGCGGCAGCAGCGGCAGTAAAGCCAGCGACAGCAGGGGCGGGCGGCGGCCGCGCGGCGGCGGGCGTGGGCGGCAGCAGCAGCAGCAGCAGCGGCGGCGGGAGCCGCAGCCGCGCGCCGGCGGCGACGGCGGCAGCGACGACGAGGGCGACGGCGGCGGGGGCGGTGCCGCCGACGCGAGGGGCGGTGCGCGGGCGCTGCGCGTCGCGCGCAGCGAGGTGTTGCTTGGGGCGCCCACGCTCGAGCAGCGGCTGGGCGGCCTGCGCTTCTCGGTCGGCCCCCACTCGTTTTTCCAGACCAACGGCCGAATGGCGGAGGTGCTGTATGATCTGGTCGCGGACGCGGTCGCGGAAGCTATGGGGCAGCTGCCCGCCGGGTCCGTCGTGCTGGATCTGTACACAGGGACGGGCACGATCGCGCTATCGCTGGCCCGGCGCCTTGGCCCCGGCGTGCGTGTGGTCGGCGCAGATGTCAATTCGGAGGCGATCGCCGACGCGAGGAGCAATGCCGAGGCAAACGGCGGCGGCGGCGCCCGGTTCGTGTGCGGGGACTTGGATCGCTTGGTCGAGGAGGAGGGCGCGCTCGGGTTGGGAGGCCGCGGCGGCGGCGTTGGGGTGGTGGTTGTCGACCCCGCGCGCGCCGGCATGGGCCGGCCGGTCGTGGAGTTCCTGCGGCGCTCCGGCGCCGCGCGCGTGGTGTACGTGTCGTGCAACGCGGCGACGCAGGCGCGGGACGTTGCGCGGCTGGCGGGGGCGTACGCGCTGCGGTCTGTGGTGCCGGTGGACCTGTTTCCTCAGACCGAGCACGTTGAGACGGTGGCGTTTTTGGAGCGCGTTGGCGGCTGACGGCGGCCGGCTTGTAATTGTATCTTCTGATTTGGGCCCTCGGCAAGCCGCGTGTAGCATAGGGAGCTCAGGCGGGGATTCGGGGGACGACACGGGGCCGCGCGTGTGAAGAGCCGATTGGCTGGGTGATGGTTCGGCTGCGTGCTGCGTTCTTGGCGGGTGCGCCGTGCCGATCAGGACTGCCTGACGCAGTGGCAAGGCTACACCCTCACCACACTAGCACCCTGATCTGGGTGAGAAGGGGGCCGACAGGTGGCGCTTATCGTCCGCGCTGCCATCCTTGTACACCGATATAATAAGCTTGCGCTTCGTTTGTTCATGCATTCGAATCTCCGCGTTCATATCTCTCGGGCTGCTGCCGGAGATCTTTTTGGATTTCGCCGACGTCCTCGCCAACTTTTTGGTCAGGATGCTCTCTCAACGCGTCATGGGACGCCCCATCGGCTTCAGGTACGCTCAAGGCACGCCTCAGCGACAGCCCGCTCGCACCATTGGCGCCGTTGCCGCGACGGCAGCCGGCGGCTCAGGCTGACCGTGCGCACGCCGCTGGAGGCGACGCCGGAGTGCATGATCGCGCACACGGCGCGATCACAATCTATCCCTGCCAAGTTATCTCGATCCCTTTCTCCCCCTGAAACGCAGCCGCAGGCCCGCCTGCGCGCCGCGCTGCGAGGCGCCCAAGCGCCCGGCCTCGCGCGTCCGGGCGGCTGCGCCCGCCCTCGACGCGCCGGCGGGCGCGGCGCCCGCCGCCAGCGAAGCAAATGGGGACGCCGCTGCCGCCGCCGCGGCCGGCCGGCTCGTGCGGTTTGGTTTCCCGAAGGGCAGCCTCCAGAAGAGCACTGAAAATCTGTTTCAGCGCGCAGGTGCGGTTAGCAGCGAGTCCCGTGCCTGGTGGTTTGAATCTCGCGACTCGGGGCGATCGGGGATCTTGCTGCGCGCAGCCGCCGGCCAAGGCTCACGCACACACAAAAGGATGCCGCGTGCCGCCGCACCAGGCCCAACATCGACTCACTTTGCGGGTCCCCAACTACGTCATCCAAACAGGCTTTGAGCTGAAGATATCTGAGCGCGGGTACTTCCCCCGCATCGACGACGAGGAGCTGCAGATGGTGCTGTTCAGGAGCCAAGAGATCAGGTACGTTTGAATCCGAAATCTTCGAGGGAATTACCAGAGAGGACGGGGTGGTTCACGTCGACAATCAAGCAGGGGAGGGCGGGGAATACGGCGGAGTGGTTTGAGGGGAGAAGGTTGTCGTCTTCAGGGGTGCGGCAGCTGGGTGCACGCCCAGCTGCCGCTCTGTGGCAGTCGAAGGGTCGGGTTGTCAGGGGGATAAGGGCCGGGCGTCCTGGGGCCATTGGGTGAACCTGTGATTGTGCAGCGGTTATTGTGCGACCTCGAGAGTGCTGCGCCTCTGCGCACGCGCGCTGCAACCACGCACGCACGCTGCTCTCGATAATGCGCGCACCGCCCGCGGCCGCACCCACGCCTGCAAACCACCCGCAGCCGCTACGTGGAGGACGGAGTGCTTGACGCCGGCATCTGCGGCTACGACTGGGTGGTGGAGAACGGCGCTGATGTGGTCGAGGTGAGGCGCAGATGTGGTCGAGGTGCACTGAGGGTGGGCACATATGTGCATGCATTCTTTGGGTGACGGTCCCCGGGGGCCACGCACCGCAAAGTGCGTGTGTGTGTGTGTGTGTGTGTGTGTGCGTTTGCGTGTGCATTGTGTGTGCGTGTTGATGCGCACGTGCAAACGTGTGCATGTGGGGAGGGATGCTTTTGCGGTGAGGTGTGCGTAAGACATGGGGGTCAATTTTTAAGCAGAGGGCCACGAGGTTGAGGAGAGCAAATGCTGGAGGGGGCCTCTCAGTGTGGATGTAGGCAGAGGCGTGGCCAGCTTTTAAGCAAAACCAGCCATGTACAGACGCACACATGCACGTACGTGCGCAAGTGATGTCACGCAGAGCATGCTTGCGCGCGCGTGGGGTTTGCCCATGCGTGGGGGTGGTGTTCTCTGTCTTTCTCTGTGGGTGTGTATGTGTGTTGAGCCACGCGCACTCACACACAAACACGGATTCACGCGCCCCCAGGTCTGCGAGCTGCCCTACTCCAAGGCCACCTCCAACCCGGCGCGCTGGGTGCTGGCCGTCCCGGAGGACAGCAGGGTCCAGGGGCCAGAGGACCTGGCCGGCACCATCGTGGCCTCCGAGCTGGTCAACACCACCAAGAAGTGCGTTTGACCGGGGTTTGACCGGGGTTTGACTGGGGTTTGACCGGGTTTTGGAGGCAGCGTATTCAGTGACGTGTCATCCCCTCCATTCCAATGAGCGGCGTTTATCTTGTCCCGTTCCATCATGCTTACACCTGCCACTCACATCTGTCTTCCCCCTTTCCCGCTGGCCTCGACCCTGATCGCCCCTCGCCACAGGTTCTTTGCTGATCGGAACATAGCCGTGAAAAAGGTGCACGAGGGCACCGCCCTCCCTCCCTCGGCTGAGCTCGGCACTCCCCACGCGCGTGTACGTGCAGCGCTTGCCTTCACTGCCAGGGCCCTGGCCTGTGACATTTCAAAGCCCAGCCCTTGGTCCCACGAAATCTGCATCCTGATTTTCACATCATGGGTGCATTCCTGCACATGCAACCTCCCACTGCTTGTCAGCATACGGTTTCATGTTCTATCTGGCCCCGCCAGGTGGAGTACAGCTGGGGTGCCACCGAGGTCAAGGCCAGCCTGCCTGGAGTGGGCGGCATCGTGGACATCACCGAGACGGGCTCCTCCCTCAAGGCCAACAACCTCAGGGTGTGGGGGGAGGGTCTGGGGGCGCGGGTCTAGGGGTCAGGGCCGGGGCCCCAGGGCCCGCTGGGCTTCGGGTTCACTCCTGCGTTTGAGGGAGTCACTTGAGCTCACTGGTACACACAGGGGCGGTCTGGTGCCTCAGACCCAGCAACCACAACAGTGGCCGTGCGCCGAGTCGCGGCCACAGGGTCATCTCAACCGCCGATCAACCACCATTCAGCTGCCACCTCAACGCCAATCGGCATGCCACCAACCCGCCGCCCAGCCACCGCCACATTGCCGCCCTACCGGCCCCAATACAACTGCCATCTAACTGCCACCAATCGCCGCCCAACCGCCCCCAGGTCGTGGCGACGATCCTGGCGTCCACCACCCGGCTGGTGGCCAACAGGGCGGCCTGGGCCGACCCCGCGAAGCGCTCCAAAATCGAGGACGTCGCGCTGCTGCTGCTGGGCGCCATCGAGGGCCGCAACAAGGTGCGGCCGGCGGCGGCGCCGCTGACGTCAACAGCGCTGTCGATGCCGGATTGGATGCCGTTGGGCGCTCCCGCAGCGCCGAGCAGGTCCCAAGCAGCGGCCGCAAAAGCCCTGCGTGGTTTCTGATCGCGTGACAGGGTAGCTGTACGCGGCCAGGCATGGCTGCCCTGGATTGGATTGTCCATTTGAACGGAGCACCCGTCCGTCACCCGCGTGGTCATGCACCTGACCGGAGGCTTGTGACTGTCGCAATCCCTGCGCAGGTGGGGCTGAAGATGAACCTGCCGCGCAGCAGCCTGGAGGAGGTGCGGAAAGGGGGTCCGATGGGGGACCGGGTGCGAAGGAAGGGGCTGGGTTCAACGACGATGTGTCCTAACAGCATTTGAGAAGGGGTGAAATGCAACCGTCTTGCGAGATTTGGTAATGGGGCGTTTGGGCTGCGTTTGTGGGCTTGGCGCTCTTTCAAACTTTACAACTCTCTCGTCAAACACGCACATGCACGCGCACACGTGTACGCACGCATGCCCTAACACCCGTGCTCATGTACTGCACCCGTCACTTGCACCCTGCCTACTGCTGTCACAGGTGTCTGCCTGCCTGCCTTCCGAGCGGTCCCCCACCGTCAGCCAGCTTGTCGACTCTGATTACGTAGCCATCGAGGTCGTCCTCGGGGAGAGGCAGGTGCGCGCGGCTGCAGCGGTGCAACGCATGACACACACTCACAGCTTCCTATTGATGTGGTATCACGATCGCCGTATGGTGCAAAAATTTGATGCCACCGTTGCCATCTTGAAGGTGTTGTGGGAAGGCGCGCGCGGCGATCGCACCGTGCTGTGCGCCACCCAGGCGCCCGCCCACGGCCACTCATTGTGGGCCCTAGACGCGCGGCCGCCGAGGCCGCGCATCACCCGCGCCGCCCTGCGCGCCGCTCCGCGCTGCCCTGTGAGCTGCATGCATCACTGCACCATACCCATCACTCATCAAATGTCGCCTTTGGCGCGCCCGCCCTCGCCAGGGCCCCGCAGCAGCCGTCGCCCCCCTTCCATCAACAGCCGTGAACCCTCACCCCTCACCCCCAGCACGCCTCACCGCATGGGCATTCAAGCAACCTGCCCTGCCTTTTCCATTCTCATGACCGACCCCCACCACAAATCGACCCCTTTGCCCACCCTTCCCCCCCCCCCCAGGCCCGTGACATCATCCCCATCTGCAAGCGCCTGGGCGCCACCGGCATCCTGTCCTACCCTATCAACGTCATCGTGCACTGACGATGACCCACTCGCAACCCGGCCACCCGCCGCTGGTGTCGCAGTGCAGCCTCTGCTAGTGAGGGTCACAACAGAAGCTGAGTGACGCATGGCCAAATTCACAGCAACAGGCGCCTCCATTGCTGCATCAATCGAGCTGCAGCAAGCAGCATCCATTGAAGAGTTTCTGGCGTGCGCCACCATTCGGTCGGACCGCTGGCGCCCTGTCCGCACGAGCAGCTGCGGCCGCCGCAGGCGCATGGACACCCCCTGTGTGTCAGTGATACGTGGCCTTGGCCCCAACTCGATCCTTCGGCGGCGTTGCAGGGCGCAAGCCCGCTCAGCGCCACTTCCCGCATAAAACCTTTGTGCAACGTTTTGCAAACAGCCATACGGTCACGTGCGCATCCCTCGTGCAAGCGGACTTTCAGGCCTCAGCCAGTGCCGCCTGCCTGTGCTTCCCGCGCTCTCGACCAAGCAACTGCCCGATGCTTGCTCGTGTTGGTTCTGATGTGAGCCGAGATTTTGCCCCCAAGCTGTTCTTGGAAGTTTCTTGCTTGTACGAGGAATACAACACATTAGCAGCAGACCTGCTTGATCACAGTATGCATGACAGTACTGTAAACACTGCTGCTATCAAGGTCATGTTACATGCGTGCCAGGACAATGCCCAGTGTTCAGGATGTAGAACATACAGGTGTGCGCTGCTGCTTGGTCAAGTGAGTGTGCATCTGTGCTGTGTGTCGGTGCAAACGAAGGTGTCACGCAAGGGGACATTGACCAGTTTTTGGTCGCAATTGTGAAAGCTTTAAATTGTGTTGTTGGCTCAAACTCACCACTACCAGAATGTGTTGACCCCAAATGCAAGGACACAAATGTTTCCAGTACACGCGACAGGAGAGTAGGCAAACGGTTGGCATGCTTGTTGCGTGGCTTGCTTTGTGCGTGGTGCTTTAGGAGTTGCCGTCGCCGTTGCGTGTGCTGCCGGTGCTGCTGCTGCAGCCGCAACCGCTGCCGCTGCTGCCGCTGCTGCCTCTGCTGCCGTTGCCGCCGCTGCTGCCGCTGCCGCCGCTGCTGCCGCTGCCGCCGCTGCTGCCGCTGCCGCCGCTGCTGCCGCTGCCGCTTTTATCAACCAGCTTGGCCATGTCCTGAGCAAAGAGGGCCGTCATCTCATCCCCACGGCTGCCTTCGTAATCGCCACTCTTGTCAAAGTCCCAGTCCAGGCTGGCTGTGGCGCTGACGGCGCCGTTGCCAGCCACCGCAGAGGATCCATATCCCGCGCTGGTGGCCCGCCCAAACGCGCCGGCGCTGCTGGTGGCGGCCTGGGCTGCGGTGAGGGCCGCCCCAGTGTGGGTGACCTGGGTGAGGGCGCGGCGCCAGGCGGCGACGCCGGCGGCCACAGCCGCTGGCGCAATGGCCGCGGCACCCTTCGGGCCTGCAGAGGCGCCGAGGCGCAGGGGTCGGCTGGCGGCTGCTGAGTCGCAGAGGAGGGCGCCTGATTTGGTTGGAACAAAGAAGTGAGGCGGGAGGGGCGGGGTTTGCCATGCAAGATGTGAAGCTCATGGCTGCGTACTGGGCCTGGTGGGTTGCACAAGCTCAGCGACCCCCGACTACAGTACGCTCAACCGAGCTTGAGTTACGCTTGAAACGCACCTGCCAGGAGGAGTGCCAGGAGCGCTGTTGACGAAAAGGCGCGCATGCCTCTGGTCTGGGTCTGCTCTGCCGTGCGGCCTGCAAGCGGCGTCTTGGGCCGGGTGACGTCGCCAAGGATTGCAATCAAGTGGATCGGCTGCAAAATCACTGGAGGTTTTGTGGACTGCTTGTTTGATTCCTGGGGGAGATATTGCTTACTTTGCGACAATCTGGGGCGTTTATCTCTCCCTTGCGAGCAACGATTGGAAATTTCAAACGCGGTCACACAAAGAGTGAGGGTGCCGGAAGCACCCGCTTTCTTTGCATTTGTTGCGCGAAGGGGTACATGTGTGTCACTAACCTGTGCATGTTGATAATCAGATACGCCGCCACCTTTTCAAGGACGAAAAGAGCTTCGCACTCTCAAATGCACCCTACAGTGTGAAGCTCACCCAGCTGGGGAGCCCTGCAGGCGCTTGCTTTGCTGAGCTGGTCGCACTCTCAAGCTGCAAAGATCTCTACAAATCCAACATTTTGCGTGCAAGCTATGCTGAACGTCCAGGGTTGGGTAAATCATCCAGGGTGCTTGCAGGGCTTGGTGAAGTCGTGCGCTCCCGCCCCCTGTGTGTGGTCATACCCCTGCTCGGCCCACACCCTGCCCCCCCCTCTTCCAGTGCTGGTCACGAGTTGTGCAGCATCCATGAGTGTCCGCTGTGCCCACAATGCTCCATTTCTGTGCGGCGTGAATTCGCGTGCAGTCGCGCAGCTGCAGTCATGACCCTGCCAGCCGCCCACGGGATATCGACCAGGGCTCATAATTGCAGTGCGCACACCGCGATTGAGGACACGGACGCCGCAGGCCTTGCGCCGTCCAAACACGGGCGCTGTGTCACCAAACACGGGTCTGGGCGCTGCAACCACTGCAGATCCAATGCCCGCAGTCAGCTGTACTCTGCTACCTCAGACCGGGACAACGCCGCATCCGGCCACCCCACCGCGTCACCGCTGGTAGATCCCACCACTGGCTGCCGGGTCCCTGGAGAACAGGCAATTCGTAGAAACATGCGTGGTGCAGAACAAACAGCAAGCAGCCTGGAAGTGAGGTTTACTGACGCCATGCATGCACCATTTGAGTCGGCTGCTTGTGCCGCGGGACCCCAGGATGGTGCATGAGCAAGCTGGGCGCTAATCATCGATGTTGGTGACGAGAGATTACGTTGTGGCGGCAATTTGAGGGTCCCCTGCTCTCACATGCCAAGTGAAGGTGTAAAATTACAAGTGCAGTATGGGCCTTTCTTCGCCAGATGCAAAGGTGCAGCAGGGCAAGGCAAGCATAAGTTTTGTCCTCCACACACATTCTTCTGAAAAAGCTTGGTTGCTGGGCAAAAACGCAAAAGGCAATGGTTGGATGACCATGGATGAACAAATGTGTGCACCTGGCTGGGCACGTTCAGTGTGAGGATCAAGGAGATGTTTGACAGCCCTGCCCGCCTCTGCGCTCGGTCATTCAGGGACTGCCGCCTCTGCTGCCACTGCTGCCCCTGCTGCCATTGTCAAGGTTGGCCATGTCTTTGGCAAACAGCGTCGTCATGTCCTCATCGCCCCCGCCCTGGCCGCCGCCGCCCTCCAGCAGCTGCGAGCCGCCATCGCTGCCGGAGCCATCTGCTGCGCCGCTCTTGTCAAAGTCCCAGTCCAGGCTCGCCGTGGCGCTGATGGCGCCGTTGCCAGCCACCGCGGATGATCCATACCCGTCGCTGGTGGCCCGGCCAAACGCGCCGGCGCTGCTGGTGGCGGCCTGGGCTGCGGTGAGGGCCGCCCCAGTGTGGGTGACCTGGGTGAGGGCGCGGCGCCAGGCGGCGACGTGGCCGAGCTTGGCAGCGGCAGCGTGGGTGGCAGCGGGTTGCTGTGTGATGTCGGAGCCGAGGTGCAGGGGCCGGGCGGCCGCCGCAGAGTCGCAGACCAGAGCGCCTGCGTCGTTTGAAAGCAAGAGATGAGGTATGGACGAAGCGGCCGTCAGCACTGGTGGAGGTTTGGGTAGGAAGGGGGTTGTGAAGACTTCCAAGAAGTTCCTGTGCCCGCCCCACACACTCTGGCTTGGCAGCCACTAACACCCACAGAGAAGTGGGCAAGCCCGCGCAGGCCCCCTTTTACTCGCTTCAGTATGTGCAGCCGTTTTTGAAAGAGCACACCTGCCAGCACGAGCGCCAGGAGCGTGGCTGAGGCGGGTGCACACATGTTTGTGGGTGCTCCCTGTGTGGAATTCCTGTGACTCGGGGCGGCGTGATGGGACTGACGACAAAGGCACAGATGTTTGGTTGGTAAGTCGCGCGAGTATGCTCGTGTTTGCAGAAAAGTGGAGTTGCAGCGCTTACATACCCTCCCGCAGTTTGTTTTGACATCGCAAATCCCAAAGTGTGATCGATGCCGGCCCTTGCCCGAGGTTCTCTGGTGGTTTGATCATTTGCTCGAATTAGTTGTGTCCAGGGTTGTGTCTCAGACCCCAGGCGCCGTCAAGTCTTCAAAACGGGCTTCGGCTGCCAGAGCGTGCTGGCGCACTCCACGGCTGCACATCCCTCCATACCCCCATCGTGCTGTGCTGCCCTCGAAATGCAGCCGGCTCCCCTCATCCAGCACAGTGCAAGTTGCCACAACTCTTCTGGCATTACCCACACCCAGCTGACGGATGCGGATGCTTTGAAAGCATCCACCTTTGCAACACTCATCACACCAACACAAAGGCTGGCGCGAGGAGGGTTGGTCTACCTACACCAACATTAGCAGCCCCTGAAAAGTACGCCATGCCTAAGCAGACGACCTCCCAAACCCCTGACAACAAGATTGTGATGCAACGCAAAAAAGGCACGCGCGGGGAACGGCGCTTGCCGGTAGCGTGCATATGCGTGTGTGTGCGTGCCTTACTTGTCTGCTGTGCATGTGTAATCTCCTGGCGTGCCTGAAACCCAGGGGTGCCACTACCTGTTTTCCACAGACCGTCAGGGAGTGCAGTCTGTGGCAATTTGTGGGCGATACAAGCCGTATGACCGCCACACTCCCCAGCCAACCATCTGCAAGCAACCGCTTGGACATGCGACTGCGCGTGTGCCCAGCCATGCTCGCCCTCAGCTTCGCTCGGGTCCTTCTGCCCGCGCCCTCCGCGCCTCCTCCCTTCTCTCCTCTTGCTCCTGCAGCGCCCTGCCGCGCGCGATGCCCAGCGCCATGGCGCTGTCCTGGGCCCCGGGGACAACGAACTTGTCGGCTACTTTGGCAAACACGGCGTCGCTCGCCACACCGCAGTCGTTGCCGCCCCTGCGCGCAGACAAGAGGAGGGGCGTGAGTCTTTGGCAGTGCATGGGGCTCCATAAATCGCACATAAGGGCATGCCATGATCGTTGCATAATCGCGCGAGCTGCATGTCTTTGAGACATGCCCCTCCTGTTGCGCGCTGCCCCCGGGCGCGCCCCAATTCCTGTGCTGCTGGCCACGTTGGTGGGTCTGTTTTGTCCCAAGTGAACAAGCCAGCCCAATTGGGATCCATTCGGAATTGAGCCGAACCCACCTGGCCATCAGGATGTATCCGTCCTGGCCCCTGCATGAGCCAGCAATTTGGTGGGTGGAACATAGTGCAGCCCGCCTTGCATGAGCTGTGCGACAAGCAATCTTGTGTAGCAAGGCAGCAGCGCTGGTGCACGTCAGGAGGCGCCCCGCGGTGGTCGTTGACCAAAGCCCCTCCCGCCGCCCCCCCCCAAAAAATCCGAGGCACACGCAAAGCACATCCCTTCCCTTACCTACTCAATCACACAGATTCAATCAACGTTTTCACATGCTTTCATATTTGAAACAAGAAGCTCACAGTCCACACAAACACAAAAACACACACACGCACATCCACACACACACACTAAGCACAAAACCACACGCACACGCCCCACGCGCGCGCACCCACCAGAGTGAGCTCCATGTGTTGCGCACGATCCAGTAGCCCTCCCCCTCCCGCTCCCCCCAGCCCACCAGCACCACCGCGTGGTTCAGGCGGCTGGGGCGCGTGGTGCAGCGGTGCTCGTAGTAAACCCCCTCGCTGTACAGGCCAAACTGGGGGCCCGATATCCAGAGCCAGGTGGGTTGCGAATGCCGACACCGAGGTTAATGGTGATGCTGGTCATGCTCACAGGGACCACTGCCTGTGCACGCGTGAATAAAAAGCTGTTCGCTGGGCCCCTGCCATATCACCAAGAATGAAGATTTCAGGTGTCCCAGGCATGACCCAGAACCCTGCAGCCACATCCCGAGAAAGACAGACCGCTCACGTCGTAGTCAGCGTCGATGCCGATTGCCAGGGGGCCGTGACGCATGAGAGCCTCCATGACTGACTCGTCGTCCTGGTCAACTGGTGAGTCATATGAGGTTGATGATGGGCAGGACAGTACTTTGGAAGCTTTGAGACTACTGGAGATTCATGCGAGGGTTTCATTCACAACAGGTCGCAGTCAGTCTGTGAGCCAGCCCGCGGAGCCGGCCAACAAGTCCAGGTAAAGCTAATCAAAGCTAATTATGCATACAGAGCAGTTTTCTTGTCGGCCGCACGCCCAGGCAATACTTCATCGCAATTTCGGGGCAACGACGCGGGTGTGGATGGCACGACCACAGCGCCACAACGAACGTGGCGCCGATCCCCACGCACTCACACCCGACCCACCGCGCACGAAGCCGTCGAATATGCCCTCCTTGGCTGTTGTGTTGTCCCTGCGAGCCGTGCACCGTTGTTCATATTCCTTTTGAGGGGACCAGCGGCCGGTGATGCCAATGCCACGCGCGCAGGGCAAGGCTGCAGCGGCACAAAGCGGCCCGATTAACAGGGCCGCGGCAGTGCTGCGGCCCATAATGCGACGGCCCTGGGACGCAGGCAACTTGCCAGGTCTGGTTGAGCGCCCTCAATACCCAGACATCCACCGCACAAGCGGGCACAGCCTCATGTGCAAATCACGCCTGGCTTGTTTGACATCGCAGCAATCTAGTTGTATTGCGCATGCGTGCGAGAAGGCCAGCCCCTCTGTCGTGACCCTGGGCTGCCCACGCACCTGCAGAGGCCGACCAGCCCGGCGTATGGGTACGCGGCGGTGGTAGCGGCGCCGCCGGCGGCGGTGACGTAGTCGAACGCGCTGCGGACGTCCCCGCCGTCGCAGCCGTGGCCGCCCTTTGGGCAGGGGTGGGGTTGCGATGGATTGTTAGCCCTTGGGGTATGGGGGTATGAGGAACGCCGCGTGCAGGCCGTTGGTGACCAGGGTCTGATGAGCGCGAGGCCGATGGCAGTGATGCTATGGTGTGAGTAACTTATCTATCTATCTATCAGGGCCAACCCAGGCTAGTAGAATCCGTGCGCGCAGTAAATCCAGCTCTAGCTTAACAACTCAAAATGTGTGCGCTCATAGCTTGAGCTTGCCTCGGTTTGACTGCAAACAGTACATGGATGTCTGATACCAGGGCGCTGGTGGCCCTCAGCTTTGGCCCCTGGCGCAGGTTCGAATGCCGCCACAACCCCGAGACGGCGGCCTTGCACCTAGAGCCACGGCAGGGGCACCGCGTTTGCTCGCACGCCCCCACCCCCAGGGGCGCCGCACCTCGTCCCAGGCGCAGTCGATGAGCTGCTGCTCGCTGAAGGACCGCGACTGCCCCGTGTGGGTGTACCACGCGCCCTCCAGGCTGCCTGTAGCGGAGAACGCCCAGCAGCTGCCGCACTGCAAGGGGAAGGGGTGGTCGGGGCGGGGGCACAGCAGTGATGGCTGCGTGACAGGCTGGCTGAGTGCCCCAGGCGGCCCCTCACCCTTGTGTGTGCTGCATCACCGATTTTGACGATAATTACTTACTCGATAAGTCGCTCATTCACTCACAGATGAACTCGTGCATGCATGTGCGTGTGCACGCACATGTGCGTGCACACGCACACCTGCATGCACACACACACACACGCGCGCACACACACACAAACACACACACACAACACGCTGCATGCACACATACACACGCATACACACGCGCGCACACACATGCACATACACACACGCCTGAACACCAATCACCCACCTGAGCCTGGTCCTTGACCGCCACATCCGCAGGAGTGCCCCTCCAGTCAAAAAATCTGGGAAGCTGCTCCTTTGTCATGGTGGCCTTGAAGCTGCCAACCGGCTTCCTAGGGCTGTCCAGGTTGATGCGGCCATGGCGCCTGTTCCACTTCCTACAACGATGGCAGTGGTAGGAGTGTAGTTTCTTTTGCTAGAGGTTCGCATCGACGCGAGGGCCAGGGGTGAGTGGCTCGTGGGCTGCACTTGTAATGGCTTCAACGTTCATCTTTGTGGGTGCAGCAGGGGGCGAGCATGCAAAGGGCTGCATGACTTCCCTGCACCTCCATACCGCTGACAGTTGCTGCAAGACCACCGATGAAGCTGCGGCTCCCAATCCCCTCGTCCCCAGGTGCGCATTTGCTTGAATGCATGTAAACGCAGCACGCCCAGCACGCCCTCACAGCACCCCATGCAACCTGGGAGTGGCGTAGCGCTCGAGCTCGTCGGGGGTGTAGTCAGCGAGGTGGGTCAGCGCCAGCGTGTGCTTGGGAGCCCCAGGGCCGCCGGCGGCGACCCCTGCGTTGTGGGTGGCAACCTGCCGGTGCCAGCCGCACAGTCGCGGGTCAGCCGCGTGTTGCGACCGCTTGGGATCAGAGCTTCTGGGCAGCATGCAGCTGTCGGGATAATGTGGGTGTTTGGCCCCCAGATGTGAGTTTATCAGCTGAGCAACAAGGGTTGCCGGAGGGTTGGAGTGGCGTGTGCAGATGACACGCGCGGTTCGGCGCAGCGACGCGCAACGGCCGCGCACCTTGGCCTTGCTCGCGGAGAACGCGGCGAGGCGGGCGGCGAGCTGGGCGGCGGTGTCGTGGGCGCGGCCAAATGCGGCGGCGAAGGCACTGTAGTGCACGCGGTCTGGGGAGGGGGACAGGGTGCGTGGCGGTGTAAGTGGGTGTGGGTTGGCTGATGAGCGTTTGACGATCGGGGAAGAAGAGGTGGGTGGGGGAACATACGTGCATTCGAGCGGGCTGTTAATCAGGGGCAGCCCTTGAGTGGTGTGTCGCAGCGCCACGCACCGGCGTCGGGCAGTGCGCCAGGGAGCACCAGGGCGGCGGCCGCCGCCTCCTCGGCATTTTGGCTGTCCGTGTTGGCGGAGGCGTCATCGTCGGCGGTGTCGTTGCAGATGGAGGGGACGCTGAAGATCTTGGGGTGGATGGGGCCGCGTGCGAAAGAGTGGAACGTGAAAGAGTACCTGCCGTGTGGGGGTTTTGAACGAGGTGTTTGGTGGTGCGGCTGACGCCTTGCCAGGGTGCGGTGGTGCGAACGCAGACAACATGGGTGCTGCAAATGCGTGTACATGTGTGCACCCTCACACGTGCATGAGTGTGATTTCAGTATTTTGTGTGTGTGTGTGTGTGTGTGTGTATGTGAGTTTTTGCACCGCGCAGCCCTGCTGTGGTCTCAAGAGATCCTGCAACATGCTCTCTGTTGCGGCGCCGAGCTTTGTTCCCGCACTAGCCGAGAGCCTCAGCACACCCTCTCCAGTCAAAGCACTTCATGGCGTCACGCAAGCTCACTCGTCGTAATGCGAACCCTCAAGGATGTCCGTCCCGACCGCGTGCAGCCTCAGCGGCGCCCCGTCATCCGCCGCCACGTAGAAAGCGTAGCTGCTGACCTTCTGCCCTTTCACGTCCCTCCGCTGCCACAGCGTCGCCGCGCGGCCAGCAACCACGGACGGCCCCGCGCTGACCCAGCCGGCAGCGGACAGGTCCGGCAGCGCGGGGGCGGCCAGGGGCCCCGAGCTGGGGCCGGCTGCGGCCGCGTGGAGGCGCCGGACGGGGCCCTTGCCGGAATTGTCGAATATGCGGCAGTGGGAGGGCTTGTACTTGCGCGGAGCTATGGAGTATTCTTTGTCCTGTAGCGATGGAAGTCGAGCATTGGGGTCTTGTCTGCCAAAGGCAAAGATGTGGAGTGCAATATGTGTGTGTGTGTGTGTGTGCATGCCCGAGTGAGAGAGAGTGTGTGTGTGTATGTGTGTGTGTGTGTGTGTGTGTGTGTGTGCGCGCACGCGGGCAAGCACTCTCGCATGTGTGGTTACGTGGATACCCGAGTTTGGCTGGATGGGTGCAGGTCACCCTCGCTTAGGTGTGAGTCACGCCGTTGTCCTCAGCGGCAACAAGCCGGCCGCCGGCCGCCGCTTGGGTGGAGCAGGCTCATGGCTTGACCCGACTCGCCTTGATGAACAGGGACTGCTGCTGGCCATCGTTGTAGTCGACACGCGTCGACTCGGCCGCCTCGTCGATCCACACGTGGATACGGTACCTGTTAAGGAGCGGTTTTGTTTTTGGAGGGGAGCCAAAGGGGGAGTCGGCATGCGAATTGCGAGCCGGAGTGGGCGTGCACGGGATGAATTTCCTGTAGAGGGTGTGCAACGGATTGGGCTGTCACTGCGAGAGGACGCCTGGGCACAATCGGAAGAACCAAAGGGCTCTTGGGGGCACTTCATAGCTGCATCGACCAGTTGCACTGCTTCATTGCCATACGCACTGAAAAGATTCCCATGATAGCATCACATGCCCGCGCCCGTTCCGCCGCCCCCATTTCTTCCAGCTCAGCGCGCTGCCGCTGAAACGACAACTGCTCGTCTTGCAGTCACGGCGCGCGCGTGAGCGCCACCAACCTGAAACCGCCAGGCTGCAGCTGCAGGAAGTAAGGCATCTCCAGCTCATAGATCATCTCATAAGACCCACCCCAGGCTGGCGGCAGCGCCGGCCCGGCCTGCGTGGGGGGTTGGGGTGAGGCGGGCCCGATGAAAGGGCGGAGGCCGCTCGGGGCGGGCAGCAGAGGCCAGTGCTGGTCGTTGCGCAGGGAGCGGGTGGCAGCAAAGGTGGTACTATTGCTGGACCGGGGTTGCGTGTCAGAGGCGAGCTAGACCGCGAGGGCAGCTGCTCTCTCCTGCGGCCGCTGCTCCCGCAGTCATGCGGTTTGCGCATGACATCGGGCAGCGCTGCCCGGCGGCAAATCCGATGAGGCACGTGCGCTGGCGCCGCGTCGTGCCAGGCAGTGTGCGCGTTATACATATAGAAAGCAAACCTGCGCCACGCCGGTAGTCTCGGCTGCTGACGGGCGCATCACTGCGCGCAACGCCGCCTCCGGGCGGGCAGCGGCCGCCGCACCACAGAGCAGCACGATCAACGCGAGCATCGTTGATGATCGCGTGTCAATTGCGCAAAAAGCGAACGCCCCCTTTCTTTTCAAACGGATCGGGCAACTGATGCCGAGCTGGGATGCCCCGGCACTAGGCCCTCAAAGCGATAGCAGCAATGCAATAAACGCTGACAGCGAGCGAATGGTGGAACTTGCAAGTCCGCATAGAGATGCTTGGCTGGGACGCCAGGTGGCTCCAGGGTGTCTCACACAGCCGCCGGCTGATGAGTCAGGCGCACGTGACCGCCCTGCTGGGGCCGCGCCAGGTCGTGCCGTTGCCCAACAATTCAAAGAATTATCCGTGTAGCTCGAGCATCTCAACCGCTTGACAACTGGTGGTTTATCATGCAGATTGCACCAGCCTACACCCCCACCGTTGGGCAACCTGACGGGGGCAGTGACTGACAACTGCACCTGCCTGCATGGGCAAGCAGCTGCCCAGCAATCTCTATGATGACATCGACAGGTTTGGTGCTCTGGAACCCAATCGGGGCCAACGCAATGACAAGGGAAAGCATCAAGAACACCGGCCTTCAACGCTGGTGCACAGTTTGTGATCAACACACCTCAGCATCATCTCATCAGCGGACGCTGTTACGAAATGCTGGGTCACGCAGCTTCGCCCCACGTCAGTGAAATCATTGATTGGCAAGGGCCAGCTCTACGTACCCCAATTGTTGCAGGGGTGCGGCATTCATGAAGAGAGCGGTCAAAAACTAGCTCTCCAGAGCACCACGCATTGAGTTTGCCCTGTCCGCAACAAAAGCAGCACAAAGCGTACTGGCACAAGGGCAAGACAGCTCATTACTGAGAGCAAGCAGTGATGCCACATCCACAGGCAGGAGGTGAGCATGCTGAAAAACGCACGCCTCGCCAGCAGTCCTGTACAGTCCATGGAGGGAACTGCAGTGGAGGATATATCCCGCAAGTGAAGTGCTCTGCCAGCCCTCAAGCCACGCACGTCTATGCAGCAAACCTGATCACCAGCAAACAAGTAACATATCAAACTTCCAAACTCTTCTATTCAGTGAGTGAGCTGAGGATTCATTCTTTGTCCAGGGCGTCACATTTTTTTTGCTGAAGTGTGCCCATCACTCTGAAAGAAGCTCGTGTGCGCGTGTTCAAGAAATCAAACCATGCAATACATCAAAAAACAAGTCTTCAAGTAACCTGCAGCTCGCTCGGACCAGTCCGACCCTCTACGTACCCGCGTGGCCCACACAGTCTGCGCTATTCCTCAGCCAGCGGGCGGCAAAAATTGCGTGGATAAATTTTCTATCCGGCTGATCCCTGAATTTGGCTCCAAGCCGCGCCTGAGTACCTGCCTTTGGCCAAGCAAGTTCTAGTTGGCTACAAGTTCACACAGTCACACCATGCATTCTGCCCTCCCTATACTCATGGTGCTCCTTGTCACGGGTGAGTTGGGATCTTTCAATTGCATGCGTCGGTTGACACTTACTTGTGAAGGCCGTCAGAGCAGTTGGCAAGACAGGCTTCCAGTGGGCACATACAAGCAAGCAGCACTGCCAGCAGCTTGGTGAGCGCAAGTGAGCAATCAACAAACAAAACAGCTGCACCCCAGGCTGGGCAGCACAAAGCAACCATATTGACAGGATCTCTGACAACTACAATCACCCCACACACCGCCACCCATTGTGCGCAGGGCCGTTTGTATGCAACCCAGCCAGCGCGCGGCCCCTGCCTGCGGCCCGCAGCGCCCCTGAGACGAACGCCGTGGCGCGGCTGGGCGCAAGGCGCCTGCATGGTCACATAACCCCGTTGTTTTTGACCGCCACTCAGGCCAGCGTCAGCACCGACGGCGCGGGCACGACCGCCAAAGACGCCGCTGGCGTTTCTTCGGCGGTCTCCAACAACGGCGCGGCGAGGGCGACCGCCAGCCTGGTTTGGGACACTGATGATGAGGGACCCGGCGCGTATGGCACCCAGGGCACCTCCCCGGATGGCGACAGCCCGAACGACGACACCCAGGAGACACAGTTGTTTGCCAAGGACATGTCAAACCTCGGCACCTCAAGCCCCTGATGTTTGTGTGCTGGTGCAAAACATCAGCGATCCTGGCAAGCTGCTGGCAGTGGCGGCTTGCTGGCCTGAGCTTGAAGGTCAGAGGATCGCGACAGTGCATTTTGAAATAGGTGCACGGCATGCGCCCTGGTCCAGCAACTCTGCACGCAGGTCTTCACAGGGTGCACAACCCCGTCGCAACACTCCTGCACACCTCAATCCGGCCTGCCTCGGGCTTCCTGGGCACTTGCTTGTACTTTAACACGCTTGTGCATCTTCCAGTTGGGCGACTTTGCGGAGTTCCGCCCTGCAAATGTGCCCGTCCGTCAGGCCAGCAGCTGACATTCAATTGCACCCCTGCATTTCATGTAGCTGGCAAGTTCAACAGCAACCAGGAATGCTTGCTTACTATTTTCCCACAAACTTGTTTGTTTTCTCACCCACACCTTGGTGGCTTGCATTTGAATGAGACAATTGCAAGGGCATGAATGTACTGTGCTTGATCCCCAGCCAGCTGCAATCTGCTGTCGCTCAATTCCGCTTTATCTCTCTTTCCCCTCCTCAACATGCAATGGGAACTTCACTGACGTTGCACACCTGGAGCCTTGATTATATCTGCTGTTCCTAAAACAATACATGTTTCGCTGGATGTGGTAAACCTATCAGGCAGGCAGTTGTTCCTTGGAGGCCAGCCTGGCAAGGTGCGTGACCCTGGCTTTCCAGGATATTAGGGAGAGGTGTGTCAGCAAACATGTGCACTGTTTTGCAGATGGGTTGGGGAGTCACCCAAGGATTCATGTGCGCATATGTATGCTCGAATATCTCGTTTTGCACAACTGCACCAGGGGTCAAGGGTCTCACCCGTTGGGTCGGGGCATTCAACAGTGCTCTGCTGGCGAGCGATCCCGGTTGTTTGCTGCCACGCATTTTACATACCAGTATAAACCCCAATGGCGCCTGCTCTTGGCCATGCATTTCGCGGCACATGCGCCCAGGCTTGCGCCAAGGCTCGCATCTTTTGGTGCCTGCCTGCTGCCTCTGGTGCCCAGCTTCCCAGCACTGACTGTGGCACGCCCTTCGGCCTGCACATCGCCGCACGGTGTGGGTTGCAATGTGCGCCTAGTTGTTATTATCATGATTGCACAAATACATTTGCGAATAACACGCTCGCGGCCAAACAGAAGTCAAGTCACTCGCAACTAACTCGCAGCAGCAGCCATGGCCAAGGCAGCGAGCGGGGGTCAGACCAGCACGGCCGTCACCAGGGGCGGCCGTGGGGCTACAGGCACGGTCGCGGGCACCGGCCTTCGCCAACGCAGACCAGGTGGGCATTCTAGGATCGCTCCCTCGCGGCCCCACAACCTCTTGGATTGCTGCGGTGAAGAGCAATAGTCCAAGCCTTTCAATCAACTTGAGGCCCGCTAGCCCGCCCACTGCCGCTCAAAGCGTGCGCCGCTGCTGCTGTCCTGACGCTGCTCTGCAGCCCGCTCGACGGGCACCAGCGGCCGCGGCGTCGGCCAAAGCATCGTCAACTTCTACACGGACGACACCCCTGGACTCAAGATCCAGCCGGTGCGCGCCGCACCCGACGGAGCGCGACACGGCTTCCCGCTCCGTGCGCTCAACCGCCCTCGGACCCCGCCCCCTCGGGCGCGCCGCGCCAGCCGCCCAGCGCTGGCCCGGGCCTGAGCCGCTCTTCCAGGGCGCCTGGTCCGACTGGACCAGCGTTGGAGGTCCCCGCACCTCCCTCTAGCTCGCTTGCTGCCCGCGCCACGCCTGGCTGCGGCGCCTGTGCCCTTGCCTCCCGGACGCTGACCCCGCCCCCCCCACCCACCACCCCCCCCCCCCTCAGGTGTGGGTCATCGTCATGAGCCTGGGGTTCATCCTGTCCGTGACGGTCCTGCACATCATCGGGAAGGTGAGAGGGGCAGGGGCAACACCGGAGGCCATCAATATGCTTGCAGGGGCCGTGCGGGAGAGGCAGAGGCCTTAGGACAAGAGCCCCTACAGCCATGCTTGCACCGCATGGGCCAAGGCAGGCGTGCTGCAGGCTTCATAATAGGCCGTGGCTGGAGGGAATTCACACGGCGGGGGCGGCGCGAAATGTTGTCGCAAGGAAAATGCTTGGTAGGACGACTTCCAGTGGCGCCCGCTCGGCTGCACATACCAACTCACCACCCTGCTGCCTGCTCCTCCTGCCCCACTACACAGCTGCGCGCCTAATTTTCTGCCGCGATGGGGCGGCGGTGGGCGGTGCCGGCCGTCCGAGTCAGCGCAGTGATGCGTGCTGAATTGAAGCGCCGGAGCGCCCATAAGCACTGGCTTCTCCCTGGCAGCCACGCGGCGGCGCTCGCCCCCCTATCCCACTCAGGCGGCCGCCGCTGTCGCGCGGCCAGCCAAGTTGCAGCGCAGCCTTTCTGGGCCCTTGGCTCAAGTGCACACTGGTAGCAGACTGCAGCAGGGATGCTACTGCTGATGCAGCAGTTTGCTTGGCACTGATTTTTCCTGGCTCTTCCTGCCACGATGGGCATCCCTTGGTGCCTTCAACCATGCTGTCGCCTGGCTTACTGGCGTTTTTTGCCCCAATTTCTGCTTCCTCGTGCGTGGCCACTCTGTGAAGGGTTTTGGCCTGAAGCACGCCGGCTGCAACGATGCCGGCGATGCGCCATGCCAGCGTGTGCGTGCTCGCAACCAACGCTGCTTCCGTGCCCGCGCACCCGCCGCGTGTGTAAGCATCTCGCCAGCAGCAAAGCAGCAACTGAGTTTAAGTCTGGGGCAGTGGGTTTGCTTTGGCGAGGCAGACATAAGTCATCAACTCGTTTGAATCGCCAACCAACATGGCATCTGCTTTGTGCGACTGTGCCAGCTCAATATCGTTGCGGGGTGCACACACCATGATGCTCTCAGCGTCAACAGTTCGCAAACGCCGCCACAAATGTCGCCATACAACAGAGTTTAGCATATAATACGTCGCGCTCGCAGACACGCGTGCGCCATGAAGGCGCATACACCATTCACGACGCTTCTGATCGCATTGTGTCTGTATTTCAAGCCTATATATGGAGGTGCCGAGTCTGCCAGGTGCGGCTCTGCTGATCTCGAAGATCTTGTCACCACTCCCTTGCAGTTTAGATGTGTGTGAACACCACAGGAGGTGGCTTCGGTCAGCTGCATCACGAGGCGCCCTCACAACCCGCCATTGCCTAGACACCTGTCCATCTCGCGGCCGCAGCACGGCGGCGTGCATATACAGCTCAGGCTGAGATGCCGCCGCTTCAGCCATGCGCTGGACACGCATGCCTGCTTCTCACACAAATTTTTCAGCCAGACCTTCCGTCAAAAGCTCTGATTACTCAATTTTAGCCTATGAACAATCCCCATTCCCTGTGGGTTGCGAACCTCCCTAGCATCCCCGCCCCCCCAGACCCCTTCAATTTGAATGTCCAAGCC